CATGATAAATTCGAGAGTCGGAACGTGGAGTGGATGCATTCCCAAACGTTCCGCTGGTATCGTGAAGAAACCTTGCCATTCTTAGCAGTACACCACAAATCGTCAAAGAATAAAATTTGTATTGTTGGCTGTTTTGCGATCTCTATAGGCTCCCTAGCCTTAGGTTTGGGTGTGAAATTACTATAGCCTGCCAAATGCCGTTTTGGACCATTCTGTTTTGTGTTCTATATTAGCAATATGTTTAGCAAGTCCAGATTTTTTAACAAATGGCCATTTGCAGATTTCGTGTTTAGATAACCTCTTGTGTATGGGCCGGCAGGTCTGCCCCACAAAGAAACTACCAGATAGGCGCAAAACCTTGCAACACCTAAGTTTAAAAGGGGACAGGAAAATTATCTAGAAGTATAAACGACTGAGGAAGTGTTAATTTCTATTTATACATATTTATAATGGTACACTTACTCAGTAGTTCGTCTACTTATTAGTAGGTTGACAGGGCGATAGCATTAGAAACCGAGTAGGGTAGTCTACATAAATGCCATGTTCTAAGTGTCTAGTTCCTGAATTCTATTTAAGAGTAGTGAAAAGTAATTATCGGATAATTATTTCGAACTAAACTATTTTTCAATCTTTAATTTCCTCTTCCAGATTATTTACGTCTGCTAGAAGCAGACGTCTTATTATCATCGATTTCATTTCATCCAAAGATTGATGATAAAATGCGTACCATTAATAAATAAGATAGTCAATCCAATGATTAAATTTTTGCCAAATTCTTTCCTAAGATCTAAAGGTGCCCAAGTAAAATTAACTCAAAAACTTGTCACTCTGTATATCGGAATATTGGTGTACATAAACATTACATCGAAAACTGCATGCAAACCGCCAACTCATAGGACGCCTCATATGAGACGAGTAGGAGTAAGACTGGCCCTACTTCCCTTGACTTAGCATATTTGGTGTTTTTTTATGAAATAATGAATTCTCATTATGATTATGTCTATTACGGGACAGAAGTAAGCTCAGGATAGATTCGTCCGTCAAAGGATAATGAGCCGAGAACTTCTTCGCACAATCCAATATTCTCCACCCCAAGGCAATCCTCCTTTAGTTTTTAGTGAGGCCAATACAAAAATTCCTCTCAGCCGAAATTTTCTTGACGTAAAAAGTCGAGCACCACCAAATTGTATAAGTGATTTTTTAATCCAGTTTGAGAATCTTTGAGTTAGCCTTAGAAGTGTCCAATTTAAACGGAATGATTTTTTCGAATATAACTAAATTACAAATCCACTATTTACTATATTTCAAATGGGGAGAAAAGGCCAGAAATCGATCTACCGAACATCACGATCATAAAAGCCTAAATCCAACTGAAGGCAGATAAATAAACGTATTTTCTCAGGAATACTAGCCACCTTGGTTAATAATGTACAACCAATTTTTTTTTAATAATTACATGAAATTTGTAGATGCAGGTCTGCTTGGTGATAAAGAGTCTTGAGCATAAATTATAAAGATGGTTTAATTATTTCGATGAATTCGATTCCCCATAATATTCCAAAGCATTTTACCATAGAAGATAAACAGTAGTTTTGAACTCGACTAAGTTATACCTCGTCAAGCGGTGCATGAAATAGTGAATTGAATATCGAGGCATATTGGCCACAACTATGCAACAAGGCCATGTCAGTAAAGGCTAAAATAAGGGAGACTTTTAACAAGCCGAAGTATTGATGTTACATCCAATGAGTGTCTTAGAACACCGCTAAAAGTACACTAAATGTAGAGTTCAATGAACCTATAAGTTATATAGAAAGAAGCTTAATATCGTATGTATGGTGAAGAGATATAACCACTGCTTTAAATGTCAGTCGCAGCGTGTATTTAATTGGCACTACGCAAATGTAGGTAGGTGGTAAAATGCTCGCCTGCGAAATTACCCTGCCAAGAATTTAAATCGGCTAGTTGTGTGGAATGAGGTATGAACGTGAAAAGTATCGACTGTAATAGGAGAAGCATGTTATATGATTTCGAGAATAATATTAGGAAAAGATCGTTGATAGAATTTCCATCTGTTCTAAGGAAAATTATAGATAAGCTTGCTCCAGTCGTAATCAGACATTTTTTCAACTACTTTAGACTAACATTTAAAAAAATACTCCTTTGTAAGAGCAGACCTGTTGTAAAAACGTATATCTTATTTAATTTAAATTTATGTTACATCTAAGTATTATATTGTAAATTATGTTTTACTTGTTTAGTATCAGTGGTCCCTGAGCTTAATATTCCCAATCCAAGCTGTATAAGCATGGAGCAAAATGCGAGAGGTCGTTTAGAAAGCTAGTTTAAAAGTGTGTAATGACATTGAATAAATATACAAACCTCAGTTGATTCGGATGGAGGAGCTACGATAGTATCAGGGTTGTCTAAGGGGAATTCGGTGCCATGTATAGTATTTGTGGCCAAGGTCACGGAAGAGGCTGTAGCAGGGGCGAAGACATCAGTCATAACGAGAGGTATGGAAACTGTGTTAGTAGATGTGTTTGTGGAGATGGTATGAGAAAGGGGAGTGAAAAAAGGATCACAAGTAGCGGAAGTATTAGTAATGGGAATAGTAAAACAGGATAAAGGCTTATTAGTGAAAGCAATAGTAGGAGAAGTGGTGATAAGCTCGACGGAGGCGATGTCATTTTGTAAGATACAAGTTGACCCATCTGACAAGGAAGGATGCTCAGATGAATCTGTAGATGCGATTGATTGGCTACAAACGACTGTGGAAGTGGTTTGGAGCGGAGCATTAGGCATGGTAAGTGTGAAAGGGGTAGAGTTGACTTGCTGCCCAGGTTGAGGGGATGGTATTGGCGCAGAGAGTGGAGAAGATAACGATGGCTGTTGCGACGCGGCTGAAATAGAAGCCGAGGGAACTTGAAATCCAGGAAAGGCAGAGTCAATAGAAGCAACCCTTAGGTGAGTGGCCTGGAAAGGACCACCAGGGCAATCAGCGTTGGCGATAGCTTGACAGCCAGCTGACCAAGTCAAAAATAAGATAATAAGGAGGAATTAAAGGAAAGTAAAATTTAAAAAAAACAAAGAAGAAAATTCCATTGCGGAAACTTAAGCAAAAAATAGTGTTTTGGTGCTATGCAAGTAGTTCACTAAGGATTTTACGAAGTTAAGTGAATAAATGTAGAAGATAATGCTCAACAAAATTTCAGTTTTAACATTTTAAGTAAACTACGTCTCATATAGCTGATTTAGTGGTAGCCTCAAAGCCTAACTTATGAACGAAAAATAAGTGATGTTATCGATTTGCTTCATTGACATTCCTACCAAAGAATATGATATGGAAAAATACATGGCCTTTTTTGAAATTCACATCTGTCCTGTGACCCAAGGGCACTCGCGGTAACGTGGCGTAGTGGTTAACGTGTTGAGATTAAAAAGGAATTAATAACCAAAGAAGGAATAGTTGTGGTTATGGACTCAACAGAAACTCTGGAGGCTAGATTCAAAGGTTGTCTGTGACGAAGCTTAACAAAATAAAAGCTGTAGAAGTTAAAAATAAGTGCACATTTTAAGCGAGGCTTCAGGTCTGCCAATTTATATTATCAATAGAAAATATGTTAAGGGGTCTCACATAGAACTAGTCTGAATAAAAACGGTTGCGCGATATGTAAAACTCAAAGAATCATTTGAAACTAAGGTGAATCTCTGAGGCTAAGCTATTTTCAATCAGAAATGCCTATAAATTAGTTAGGTTAGTAGCTATATAAGTAATAGAAAAATAAGAATTATTCGTAAGTTTTGATTTGGCCCTAATATATACTAACATTCAGGTAATTTGAGCAACACAGAATCTGATATTAAAATTAGATCAACATACCGAGACTATAATTAATAAGAAATTAGGCAAACACACCATGTGA